TTTAAGGGGACTCTTTATATATTATATATAGTGTTGAAAGAAAGTTAGCTGAATGAGTAGCTATTGAATTGAATGACAAATTTTATTAATTTCCTCTGTCTCAAATTTCAAAGTTCCATTAATATCACCGTACTAGCAGGTAAGGGTTTGTCTACACAATAATTTTCTGGTCCGGTATGTGGTTCAGAGTATTATTGTTGCTTCTTAACTAGCCTCCTGGGGAAGCAGAAATAATTATATGAAAACAAACCGATTAATTATCAATGGGTGTTGGTTGGATTGGCTCAAGTTTTTTGTATGCTTTCAAGTTGTCATGGATTCAAGCCTCTATGATACCCTTATCCGAGAGTTTCCCCCTCCCCTTCTTAACTTTGGGATGAAAAAAAAAACAATAAGAACCCAATAATTATAGGAGAAATAGGATCCAAAACGACATTGTTTAAGATGAATTTAAAGTAAATTAGTATTCCATTCAAATATTTTTTGGTGTGATTATCAAATCGCCACATATTCCATTCAAATTCATACAGGCTCACCAATATTTAAGGCGAAGTGTGTCCAATGCATCCTTTTCGGGCTCAAGTGTCCGAAATATTTTCAAGAAAGAGGCCCAAATTTTCTTAATGAGCCCAAATTCTTAACACAATTTCATAAGTGTCCATATGGACTGGTTATGTTGGTTGGTGCGTTAGGATCTAAAATTCAATTTGGTATTAATTATTCATTAAGATGTTTAATTTGGATATAGATGTACAAATTGATATCTCAAACTATGGCTTCTTTGACCACATGAATAACTTTTGTGCAACTCTTTTATTTTGTTGCCAAAATGAGAAAGGAAAGGGGGAGTTTTCTCACGCACACACTGCTGAAGTACTATAAGGATTCGAAACTGAGTTTATTAATCTGTTACTCAAGACCATTATCCACCATTGCCACTTTTTCTGCAGCACTTTAACTTGACCAGACATTGGAAGAGAGGAGGAACCAGTAAAAATGATCTTCTAGCTAGTTAACTCGTTATGCTGAATCGTTGTACTTGATCAAGACCATTTTTGACTCTCTGTTTTTCTCTGTGAGTCTTGTAATTTTGTTATAAAAACAAAGTTTGATAATGATCATATTATTCCAATTAATCTTTACTCTAACATGCACAGTGTTTTTTCTTGAGTCATAAACACTCAATTTATCTTTGTATTGTAGGTATGTGCCAACCAAACCTTTTGTCTTTGGTGTTTATCTTATGCTTAGGAATTAATTCTTTGAATGACCAACGGATACTATAAGCTCTCTCTCTCTATCTCTCTCTCCAATATCATGGCATTTTCCTATCAACTTTATGTTGTTTGTTGCCATTGATATAATTTGCATGTGAATGTACTTTCTATATAAAAACTCTCACGTGAGCTATGCAAGAAACCTTGTATCTATTATTGTCTGCAAAACAGTGTATGAGAATAATTATATCATATATGGTATGTCTATATGTATTTAATTTTCAAGGAGAAAACTATCACTTAATAATGGTGACACATATACAGTACTTGAATAATGAACATGCACACCATAGCTAGTTGCATTTAAGAAATGATCCAAACTAAGGATGTGACAAATATTGCAAGTGTACTGCTATAGGATTTGGAAAGAATATCATTGAGAATGTACCCCGGAATCTGAGCTAGGGCAACTTGTCCAATTAGGAAATGTTACAGAATGTATTATATTATGGATATGTCACGAGAAAGAATATTTAAAGAAACTGGAATTTCTCAGGATATATATTAGACAAAATTAATCATCTTCAGACCAAAAGATCACAGGGCAACCTAATTAACATGGCCTTATTATGTCATATGCTCACATAAGAGACATTTACAGCTCATATGCATCACTGGAGAGTTAATGTCGTCGCCTCCTTTGCCTGACTATCAATCTAAACTATACACGCACAAAATCATATCTCGAATTAACCTAAAATGATTTATAGTTTCGTTAATCTTACATCTTATATTGCTGAAACAATCTAGTAAGAGAATATTTTTATAAGAGCGAAATTTCAAGTGAATTTTGTTCACCATATTATAGCGATCAGTATGAAATATACATTAAAAGGCATCACCCTCACATGTATACAATTAAGCACAATTAAAAGGCACACAATCGTACGTGTTTTTCTGTTTGTAATTTTGTAGTTTTCTCTAGTTAATGGTACTACCCAGATGATAAGCACCAAGTCACCCTCAATGTTTACTTCAATAATTAATATATTTTTTTCCAGTACACGATGGACTGTGTGTCTATATATATACATGGTAAATATACGTTATATCATAGCTGTTATATAGAATTTTGAGATGTTGATATGATTTGACATAAAAATAATATTGATAATGGAATTTTTGGTGTTTGGAATCCACATGCGAGATTATTACAATGGAAATAATAAGTGCCCTCTGATTATAAATTTCATCTGTTACAAATAGATGGAGACAAATGCATTATAATATATATATAAGTAACATTGGAAACTTATCTGGTTTTGGTGCATCAATGAAAACAAAGTGATGCAAACGAAATATAGAAAAAAACAGTGTGTACTTGAATTACAAAATGTACCATAAGTTATATGCATATGCATGTATATAATATATAGAAATTCTCTTATGCGGAAGTCCGGACGTTATTATCGTGCGGACGCTATGTATTTTCTACTATTCTTTCATGGTTTCCTCCCTGTTTACAATGATATCCGCACGATAATAACGTGTGGACATCCGAACGAGAAAATAACTATATATATTGTACAGTATTTTTCATGTCCACTTTATCTTGGAATTCTTATGACTTTTCAATTTCGGGTCCATAAATTTTCACATATTTTTATACAAGTGATATTGAGGAGGGAGGAATTGAACATGACCTCAAATGCATTGGAAACTGCTTTAAAAACACTTAAATTACAAACCCCTTGGTATAACTTTAGAGTGGTGATTTCCCCACTCCTTTTTCTCCTATTTTATCCACTTACACTCCTTTTCTATAACTAAAAAAGGAGTGTAAGTGGATAAAATAGGAGTGGGGAAATCATTGCCCTAACTTTATCACCTTTTAATTGAACTACAAATTTTAACGCTCCCCTATCAAGTTGTATTTTTTTATTATCACAAAATTAAGAGTAGAGGGGATAAGATATAAAGAGATTGTGGTTGAAAGACCCCATATTATATATATGAAATATATGAAAGATGAAAACACTGAAATAAGTAGAGCGCATGTTTAAGGATATATGCAAAGGGACAAGAGGAAGGGGTAACTGTGCACACATGGGGTTGGTTCTGATGATCAAGCTGGGGCAATCATGTGAATAGATGGTTACCAGATTGTCCACACGTTGAATGCAAACAACCTTGAAAGCAAGTGCTCCAGCTAACACATGAGCTACTACGTACTGATTCGCGAGCCAGAAACTAGCTACCATCAATTATATATATTTATATAATAATATATACCCGGTAATTTTTTTATTACAAGACTTTCCATTAGACAAATGCATATGTTAACAAATCGTGAGCAGAGACGATCGAAGCTACAATTCTCAGTGTTTATGGCTGCATTTGGCCTTCAAGACGATTTAGTTGAAGGTAGATTGCTGCTGGTTTCTTTTAGTCGAGAGCATGGTTGAAAATATATCTGAATGAATGGTGCAAACAAATAATTGCCATCAGGTTGGGCCCCCTATGCAATATATGCATGTGTATAGCTTAGTTTGGCAGTATTATTTCAAATTTTCGATAGGAATAATGTTGGTCAATTTATGTCATAAAGTGAATTATGATTTGAGAGTATCATTTGCATGTTGTGCAAGAATGCAACTAACTAGAATACGACACATTTGGTTTTGATATGGCAACTTTTAAAGGAATTAAGTGGAAACAAAGAAATGGCAAATGGGGTTTTGGAGAGAGAGAGAGAGAGAGAGAGAGAGCCCGTGAAGAAGGTTTGGAGGCATTCAGAGCACAAAAACTGAGCATGGTTTGACGCTTCCTTTGCTACTTTCGATGGTGTCCCAATCACGAGTAGATTCCTTCTTCTCACGTAACCCCACCACCACCCTCTCCCTCTCTCGATCACTCTTGCTCTCCTAATACATACATTCCCATGCAAAATGTACCTCTGTTTCAACTTTCATGTATACAGTATATATATATATATATATATATATAATTTCCATTATTATTATTTCCAAGAGATGTCATGTCCCCCCGTACACACCCTCTCTTCCTAGCTAGCTTTCTTCTTCTCGATGCTTCTTCTACATCCAATTATTGCTTCTAATTTCATGTATCCACATTTCCAATTTTCCATATCCATGATGGTTACCTCATGGGAAAGGAGAAAATATCAAGTGGACTCCGACTCATGTTTATCTAAATCAGTGAATATAAATAAGATATTATCTTGATTTATTTTTTAGATTACATATATATGCCGGGAAATAGTTTCTTCCTTGAATTAATTTGTGGTCCAAATTCATAATAATTTTTAAAAATAAGTATATGCCTCGCAGTTTAAGTTTGATATATATCACATATATTAATATGTTTTGATCAATGAGTAAATTGAAATGGGATTCAATCTCTATAGCATGTATGAAAATTACATTATACCCTCATATCAATTAGGCTATAAATTCAATTTAAGATTAAAATAATGATATCCATCACTATCAACACAATGTACTGTATGAATGTTTTAGATTACATATAATTTTTTAGTATTACATAAAACATATATTTCTTTTCAATTTGTTCTAATAGTATGTATTCTTGAAGATAGATATTTAATTATATATCTCACAGAAAGAGAGAGAGAGAGAGAGAGAGAGAGAGAGAGAGTAGTTAAGGTTGATCTAATAAATCATTCCACAACTCTTATTTCACTTTATAAGTACAGATAGCCATCAGCAAGGAACAAGAGAGAGAGAGAGAGAGAGAGAGAGAGAGAGAGAGGGGGGGAGAGAGGGAGAGGGAGAGAAGCCATGGTGTCCAAGGTGCAGAAGAGAGCCTCAGTGTCCAAGAAACTGCAATCCCTTCGTTCCATCTCTAACTCCCATGCGGTACTCATCTGAAACATCTCTTGTTCTTGGCTTTGCATGCCTCTCTCATTCTCTCCTCTACACATAATTATTCCTCCTTCACACAGATTGTTTATTTTAGTGGGACAAATTAAAGATAACTCTATCACTTATCTTCATCTGATCTTCTTGAAACCTGAATTCCGAGTCTGTAATTTCTCTGGTTTCAAATTAAGGCTCTTTGCAACCTCGATATATCTCTATTAATTTCGTTATTCCCACTTCATTTTTAATCCATATATAATTTGATGTATTATATGTGTGTGTGTGTGTGTATTATTTCTCCCTTTGAATTCCCTCTTTCTCCTTATTATTAGTTCCTTAGACTTTTACTCGTAGGGTAGGGATAAAAATTAAAATTCAGGAAGATTGTGTCTCTGTGGCTGACTATGACTATGACCTGACCTTCGTCTCCATGTGTTTTTGTGTCTATGTGTGCAGCACAGTAAAACCTCAATTATATTGGATGCATCCAAGTATATACAAGACTTAAAGCGAAAACTGGAGCAAATGAATCAAGAGATCATTGCCGCAGCGCGTAGCTCATCTGCGGCGCAAAATCCCTTCCCGGTGGGTAAAATCTGAACGCACACCAAATATCCTTGCTTAAGTAATTTGTATATAATTAACTCAACAATTAATTGAGGGGTTTATTCATTTCAGAAACTCAAAGTTGAGCCTCGAGAGGGAGGCTTTCTTATCAAGATGTTCGCTGAAAGGAGCTGCAGTGGGTTGCTTGTTTTCATATTGGAAGCTTTTGAGGAGCTAGGCCTTGATGTGCATCAAGCTAGGGTTTCTTGTTCCAACAATTTTCTTCTAGAAGCAGTTGGAACAATTAATGTAAGAATAATATACATGCAGCACATATAGCACTGCACGTACTCAATTGAAACAGACAATTAAAGTTATGCAAACGTGGCATCTATATATGTATATATAGTATATTTATATATATGTTAATTTATTTTTGACATGTTTGATGATCAAATATTGTGTCATTTTCTGTTGAATTTGGTGTTGCAGGATAATCAAAGTGCTGACCAGAAAGATGCTCAGGCAGTGAAAGAAGCGGTGTTGCAAGCCATTCAAAACTGGAGTGAAGTTACCCAACAAGAATAATAATGCAAGCAGACTCAATTCTTGAACTCATCGTTTTCTACTTCCCTTTTTCAGAATTAATGTCCTCTCTCTCTCGTTTTTCTTTTCTTCTTTCCACTCTCCCCTAATGTTTTTGTACGTCCAAATCAGTGGTTGTCTCGAGCATATATATATAGGTTACAGATTTATTAATTGTTTTGGTTTATGAATGGATGAGACATATAGCCTATATCTAAAGAGCCCTAAAATTAATAGGAATTTTTGTAGAAATGTCACATAAACTTATATATCAGTTTCAATTTGTCACTTTAAAGAAAAATTTAAGCAAAATGTCACCTTAAGTTTTCAAAATCCATGATTTGTCACTTGACTTTAACATCATCTAATTTTCCATCCATTTTGAAGAGTATTTTAGTCTTTCCAATATGTAAACCCTCTTTTTTTTTATATAATTTAAATATAAAGCTATGTAAACCCTCTTGCTTGGAAAGACTAAAATACCCTTAAAATGGATGGAAAATTTGATGACGTTAAAGTCAGGTGACAAATCATGCATTTTGAAAACTTAAGGTGACATTTCCCTTAAATTTTTCTTTAAGGTGACAAATTGAAACTGATGTATAAGTTCATGTGATATTTCTACAATTATCTCAAATTAATAATTAAAACCAACTTACATGCATATCTAATGAGAATTTGCTTTGCTTTTAAATATATATACAATTATTCTTTTATCCAGATGTCCGCACATTATTACTATGTGAACGAGGAGGAAAGCAAGGAGAGATAGTATAAAATACATGGTATCTATAAGATAATAACGTCTAGATGTCCGCATAGGAGAAAATATATTTATATATACACATATTCGCAAACTTTGATGTGAATCCATTGCCACTCACTTTTGTTTGTTCTTCACAAATTTGTGGAAAAGGGAAAATGTAGTTGGGGTGAAAGGCCTTTCGTACCTTAAAGTTCAGTATTATTCATTTCGTATGTATATTTTCATGAAAGCCAACCAAAAAGAGTGGCTAGTCCACCAATAAAGTTGATCTGAATAACATGTGCCTTTATTTTGAGGACATTTTGTATTGAGAGAGGCGATAACATATTAAACTCACACACATTACATGAATGCACTCATGAGCTCTTGGAACATGTGACTTATTATATGGCTGAGACACACATAACATGAATGCACTCATGAGCTCTTGGAACATGTGACTTATTATATGGCTGAGAGAATGAGAATCGTTAATTACCATGGTGGCGGTGGTGGTGGCATATACATGCATGTCATAAATATAACACCAATTGGAAATATAGGAACTTTAGGTGCCTCTCTTGAGACCTGAATATCCAACTTTGAAACGTATGTGAGTGTGAAAAAGAGAAAAACTTAACTTGTTTCTCAATCCTCCCCTGTCAGAAACATCAAAGATGGATTTGGCCATAAAACTTTGCACATAACTCACTGTTAATCGCTGCCTTTTCAGAAGCTTAGAGGAAAGAATAGAAATTTTGTGAAGGGAAAAAAGTGGGCATTTTAGGGGAAAGATTATATGGGTGTAATCATCAAATTGGGAGGGCTCTGTAGAATTTTCCCATTGAAAATTTTAATTTTAAGATGGGTGAGCAAAGAGATGGTCACAACAATAGCATCACTCCAATTTTGGGCAAAATTGGACGATTACTGTTCCCACGTCTTTGGGCTTTAAGAATCTGAAATAAGGCAAAAAATACTCCTGATGCATGACACTCCCTATTTTGGTTTTGTTCCACTCATGAGTTTTGCTAGGCACAGTCGCCCACACACACATGGATGATTGTCAGTTCCACTCTAGTACAGCAGATGACACAAATCATACAATGAACGATTTGAGAGATACAGGTTGTAAATCACATTAGACAACACTAAGTTTTGCTACACAAACTAAAGGAACATGGCCCAGCTTGGCAGCTTTTGCCATGCCCTTAATGCAGTGGTTGACTATCAAGCAGTAGCTGCATGGACAACAACAAAATGTCTGTCCTAAAGAAAGACCTGAAACCCAACTGAACTACCATCAACTTTAATTGCTAACCAAACACCATAAGCTCTGGAAGAATAACAACATTCAAAGTATTATGTTCAATAAATCACAAAAGAAATATGCATCAAATAGAAAGGTAAACAGATTAGTTGTTTTGACCCAAAAAAGAAAGAAAAAACAGATTAGTTGTATAATGTCAAAATTATGAAAGAAACAGTTGTGAGCAGATGAGACGTACAAAAATTCAACAACTCAAGAACATATTTTAAAGCACAGGAAATCCAGACCCAACTAATGAGATCCATAAATGTGCCGTATGACCTACTAAAGGCAGTTTGGTTTCCTTTCTTCTCTCCCCATGGAAATAAAGTCTGATCAACACCTGAAGATCCACCTAAAAAGTCAGCACCAGCAGTGAATAACCAGGGCTTCCTTGGATGGAATTTACGGTCCTTTACACCTGCATACAACCACAGTGCACAAAAATATTAGCTTCTATCAATATCTCTGTTTCTAAATTCTGCTCGTGAAAAACTTTTTGGGGTTCTGTATTTTAACATTGAATCATGCTTTGATACTGAGTTGACTAGAAATTTGGCCTGCAACTCTGCACTTCTGTTCCCTAAGTCCTTTGAGCATCTTATCAAGTCCCTATTCTAGAGTGTAAGATATCTCACCATATTATACCTTCAAAAACATTGAAGCCCGTAAAAGTATGTTCATGACAGACATTAAAGCCAGCCATCAATGAACTTTTTGCATACGCTAGCCTTATTATATTCATTTTGTTAAAGCACCCAAGGGAACATAAACTAAAGAAAGCTATCAGTCTCACCTCTCCCATTTGAGCTTGTATTACCTCGAAGTATTTTCAACGGACAAATAAGTTGGTAACCATGCCATGAAAAACATATCCAGTGCAATCATCAGCATCTACCTTGTCTCATTGGTTTAGGACTGGTGCAACACTCTCAAACTTTTCCTTCCACACTTTCCAAGCATTCCTGACTTCATCCAATTCTGCATCAGGGAATGCCTGTGTTTCTATCTAAGTTTTCAACCCATTCTTTCCAAGGATATCCTGAAGGTTCTAAGAACTTTGAAACTTCAGGCAACATAACAGATGTGTAGAACTCGTCAACAGCCTTAATAATTTCTTCTGATTCAACCATTGCCATCATTTCAGGCCTTGTTACATTTCCAGGTCGTCCTCTGATTGAAAATCTGTTTCCTCTTAAAAACAAAACTTCAGATGGGGCAAGTGGTAGGATTATCCGTGAGAACATGGCCAGTGATAATGTCAAAATATCTCTTGGGAGTAACTTGCGCTTTATGGCCACGGCAGTTCCAATCATTTTGCGAATCTGGTAAGCACATAAAGAGTATTGTTATTGAATTAGTTCTCCAAGTAAGAAGCAGCCAAATGACAGGAAGAAGAAGCCTAAGTTATTTAGGTGAAATCTGAAATACAGATGAGAGGAACTAGAAAGGTTGTTGTACCATGTGTATGCATGTGTTAAAGAATTTTCAGGGTCACACTAAAATGACTTACTTGATGTAACATGAAAGACTCTCCCGAAATGGAAAGCTCAACATAATCATGTCCAAGCGACTTCTCTAGCTTCCCACAAGAACAGCGAAAAATCTTTCTGAAATGAGAAGCACTTATTCTATCTCTTTCATCAGGTTCATATAACCATCTTGCACGGATGACTGAACCAGCACTTTGATCGTTGCCACCATCTCCCTGCTTCTCGCAAGCATTGCGTAAGTTGCCCTCACTATTGCTAGACGGTGAAGAATTTTGGTTCAGTACCTCGGCATCTGATTCTGGTGTCTTTGTTCCATCCAAATTTTCATCCACATCACTTTCCTCATACTCAGAGGCTGATGCCTCTCCAGTTGATCTCCCTGTTATTGACACACTTCCATGTCTACGTGATTTTTTTACAGGAAGCTTCCTCCTGTATTTAGATCGTATGGTATAATTATGAAAAGGATGCTCTCCCTGCAGAGTACATTGACAGACACTGACTGTTCAACTCAAGAATTTTTTTTTTCAAGACAGCGACTAAATTAGGTGCTGGAAGGAATCACAGTGGTATAAAGGAAATGAATTTGAAGACAAAAACACCACACCTCGAAACAATTTAGTATACTATTGAAGTCTGAGATGTGATAATCAATTTCTGCTGCGCTGAAGTGGCTTTTGATTCCAATAACATCAGCATGGGGGAGGACTGAATACATGCGGAGATTACACTCCTTTCTAGGATCAAAGCTCCTAAAAAAACAAGAAATCAAATTGACTACCATAAATAAACTTGTAGAGAAAAAGCAAGTGCATGTCCTTACAACAAGAAGGGATATCTCAGGAAAATCTAGGTTAAACTAATATCTGCAAATTGCAACTATCACACTAACAAGGAAAAGCATGTCGTGACTCCACTGTCTAAATACCAAAATCTCTCACTCATTTCATACCTATCGATGGTTTTCTATAATTTATACTAGAAAGGTGAATAACAAATGATCTCACCTCTGTGCAGGCAAAATGCTAAAAACTTTGATATTATGAGGAAGATAATAGTTAATGTGATTCACAAGGGCAACGCCATAAGGGTCTCCATCCCATGCTTTCTCCGGGATTTCCATTTTAAATGATATCATCGTCGCTAATGAGTGAACCTACAATATAAATTTCATCACAAAAAATATCAAAAACCAACATCCTCATAGAATGCAGCAGCAAACAATAAGGTTGCAACAAACAAACAGAAATCAGTTATAAGTCAGTTTCATTACTCCTTTATCTGTTCGGCTACTTCTGGCCCAGGCAATCTTGTTAAGGTTCCCGAGATTACTATCGCGGATACCGCCGGCATTGAATATGGCCGTTTCCAGTTCTTTTTCAATAGCTACATTTCAAAATTGTAATATGGTTTTTAGCTATATCCCATCCACGCATGCTAAGCTGATTCAAATATGTCTGTTACATGTCAATGACTCAATGTTCAATTTCTTATGGCATGGTCCATAACTAGTTCATCCAAAATTTGTAGGGTTTATCTGCTCTATCAGTAATTTATAAAAATCAATAAATAAATAAATAAATAAATAATTTTCGTTATTTTCAAGCTAAAAGAAAATTTTCCACGGGCAAGGATGAAGAAACTTACTAGATAATGAATGTTCGTCTCGTTGCATTTGCAAGCCTGAAAGCAAATACATAAGAGAACTATAAAATATTGAACGTCGCATATAAAAAGGCAAAACACAATGAAAGTATCGAACTTTAATGTAATAAATTAACAACAGAAATTGTGAGATTTGAAACGGACCTCGGTAATCGGAGCCGACGTACCCGACCCGGAGAACCACTTTCTTCTTTCGAACGGATTGCCATTTGTCAAGGTGGGTTGAGGTTTGTTGAGCAGTAGAGGAGATAGAGGAGGAGCAGTAAATAAGGTTCAATCTTAGGGGTAAAATTGGTTTTGAGAAACGGAAGCTCTGAATTGGTAGTCTTGGAAGCCACAGCGAGAACGGGAGACGCAGAGAAGAGATGGCCATGTTTGAAATTTGGAGAGCAGGGAGGCTGGACTGCAGCCACAGTTTCCTACTGGTTGTGACTGGTGAGTGTACAGAATTTTGTGCTAATCTTTTGGGACCTGCAAATTTTTGTGCTAAATTTGAGTTTATTTATTTATTTTGTCCTCGTCAAATTTTTTTTATGAAAATTAGCGTTGTCCTCGTCAATTTAACTTATGTCAATCGGGTCTAAGCCTAGTAAAAAATGCTTTAGTGACTCCTCTTCCCTTTTTAATTTTGACAAAAAATAAAGTAAAAATTAACCTAACTTATATATGTTTGGGTTGTATTAATAGAATGAGTTAAATATGCCAATGAGGTCTAGCTCGATGAAAAATGACATTGACTTGCAAGTTAATGGTCTCAGATTCGAACATTTATAATAGCACTTTGATAGTGTGTGAGAGAGAAACATCCCTCCTCTTATTGTTTAGATAATTATTTGTACTAAAAACAGGAGTTATATCATGTTACATGAATAATTAGGATTGCATGATATTCGATTGTAGTTTGTACTACACATATCAACAAAAACTTTATATCGTAAATTAATAATATTTGACAAAAAAAATTTGCCGCTAAAGATAGAGAACGAATTGGTTATGAATTTTGGTTTTTGTATCAAGTAACTGATATCAATGGGTAAGATGAAGCATAGAATTTCTTTGAGTGCTACTACCATTCGATGTTATTAATCCATGTATAATTGATATGCATGATTTTAATAAAATAAAAAAGTACATTTGTTATAATATAAATAGATTAGTAACACTATATGACAATGTGGCAACTTAATATTCACATAAAATTACTCGATTAAGCATAACTATAAGGGATTAATAATAAATAAAAAATTCAAATTCAAATATACTTTAAATTTAAAGTAAATTTAGGTTTTAGCCAAATTTTTTTTTTCACTTTTGGAAAAAGCCAAATTTTTTTTAAAAAAGACAGAAAAACCTCTCAACTTTCAAATTAAAGACATGCAAATGTAAAGGATTCATTAGGAGATCCAAAAATAAATAAGGGCAATTTTGTCTATTTTGGCTTCTTTTACAAAATTTCTCTCTCCTTTGTGTTTTTTCAAAGTCTCCCAAACTTTAATTGCCATAGAATAATCAAATGTTACACATATATTTTAGGGAGTTTCACTAAAACACCCAAAATGGAGGTTGAAATTATAAAAAAACTCAACACCCAAAACACTTTATAAACACACCCAAAACCCATCATTACACACACTCAAAACCCATTTATAAACACACCCAAAAAGTTGACTTTGGGGTTGATTTTGGGTGTGTTTCTATGTTTAAATAGTGCTTGGATTTTTTTATAAATACATATCTAGAATTGGGTTTATTTATAAATTTGTATATATTTTAAGCGTATAGCCGAGCGGCTATACTCTTTGAATATTAATATTTAAAACGTATAGCCGAGCGGCTATACTTTTTAAATATATTCGAATTTTTATTTTTATTTACTCGAATATGCATATTTTGTTTTTATTTTTATAAAAATAAAACGAGTTTTTTAGTTTAATATTTCAAATTAAGAAATATATTAGCCTTATTTAATTACTCTAATTACTAATTATATTTCCATTCTTATTTATTTAGTGAACAATTATTATTTAAATATTTTAATTTATTTAATAAATTACTCAATATATAGTATTTAATAATTTTAAATTATTTTGTGGAATTTGTTTTTTAAAAATTTCATACAAATTAGTTTGTTTAGTTTAATATTTGCATTTAAGTAATATCTTAGCCTTATTTAATTACTTTAATTAGTAATTAGTTTGTAATTATTATTTTTTAGTGAATAATAATTATTTAAATATTCTATTTAATTTAGAAATTACTTAATAAATAGTATTTAATTCTTTAAAATTCTTATGGACTTGAAAAACTATTTTTAATTTCCAAAAGTATTTTAAAATAGTTTATATTATTTTAAAATCCTAGAAAATTCTTTTAAGTACCCAAAAATATTGTAAAAACTATTTTAGTATTCCAAAAATTGATTTTAGTCTCCAAACCAGAAATCCAAGTCTTGAACCAAAAAAACCTAACTTCCAAAACTGTTCTCAAGCATCAAACCCTAACCATAAGCCGACTCTAGGGCACTTATGACTTGATTAGGCTTGGATACTCATATAACTCGACGTAATGTTTTACGATTAGGTTTTTGATATCATTGTACAACATAACCAGACCTAATCCTAGTTAGTTGGGCTTGCTGATTTGTTGTTATTTTAAAGAGTAATATATTTAAATAGTACATCCGTGCACTATACTTTTTAAATATATTCGAATATTTATATAATTTTATATTTTTTTAATCAAAATTAGTTTTTTTAGTTTAGTATTTGTAATTAAAAAAATATCTTAGCCTTATTTAATTACTTTAATTACTAATTATATTTTAATTATTATTTATTTAGTTAA